TATTTCAAGTGGAAGGTGGGGTAGATGCTTTATGATTTGTGAATGCCACGTGTCATTCATCAGTACGGGTCTCATCTGCTAACCGGTGAGACCTGGTCTCATAGAATTCTTTTCGAGGGCTGGGTGACAAGAGTTAAATTGTAAGCAAGGCGCTAATGGATAACTTGTGGGTTAGCTACATTGACACCCACCATGACATTTCTTTGGAGAGCATTTTAGGAATTCCTCATCCTTTGGAAAAAATCCCTCTCATATTTATCTCCCAAGGAATTCTGGATATAGCTTGGGAATTCACTTCCAGTGAAAAATACTCCGTGTCCTTGGCATACAAGGCTCAATCTGCTGGCCTCGCCTCCACTGTTATGGTTCCAATGGTTTGGAAGGTCTGAGCTCCCCTTAAATGCAAGTTTTTTCGTGTGGCTTCTCATCCAAAATAAATTGTGGGCGACCGGTAGATTGCATCGCCATGGATGGACGAATTGCGGTATGTGCCCCCTGTATAAGCGAGTGCATGAGTCTATCGTCCATCTCATTTGTCATTGTCGATACATGCGCCGGGTTTGGACAGAGATCACTAATTGGCTTGGGCTTTAACACATCATGGCTACGGATTGGCGCCTTGCGATCTTTGGTGAATGATTGATGGAGCGGCTGGCGGACATAAGGGTCCAAAATTGAAAGTCCATCTGCTCCTCGATGATGCTTGTAACTTGGGTCATGTGGAAAGAACGGGATGTAGGATTTTTTTTCCCAACCTCAGGGCCCCGACGATGGTCATCTTGAGGATGATCAAGAAGGAGGTCCATCTTTGGGGTTTGGCAGGTGCTATGCATTTGGGTAATGTAATTCCACAATAGTAATCCCTTTGTTCCCCCGCTTGGCAGGTCTTTGTTTAAGTCTCCTTCCTTAATCAATGAAAACAACAAGTTTTTTTTTGTCTTGGTTAAACAAACTATTATAATCCCAAACACGATTCAACATAATCATATGGAACAATGTAGATCATGATGGCAGATGTGAAGCTACCAGTAGTATTCATATTTTTAAGATTTGCCCAAAAGGTTGATAGAAAAACGGCTTCGCGTTACTCAGACAGGTGGCTAACCTAGCCGCCATCAGCGCGAGTCATTCGTCCTCCTAATTTCCTAGCGCCACCGATGGATGATGCCTGGGGGCCTCCTATGGTCGGTGCGGGCGGCTGCAGGTGGCCGAATCTGATGTTCAATGAAGGTGTCGGCGGGCGTGAAGAGGTCTGGCATCAAAGATGGTTGCGGAGGACCGACGGGTTGTTGGTGCTGCTGTTGTGGTGGCTTGTTGTTGGGTGCTACAAGATCTGGCTAGACATGGTGCGAGGCATGCAGCGCAACAACGGGGTTGGGGGGCTTCCTCTAGGTGCGATGCACGTGCGTGGAGGTGGTGCTTCGGCGAGGTAGCCCCGTGCGGATATGCTCGCCTGCCACCTTCGACAGCTCTCTCGGGAGGATTGTGTTGGATGGTGATGCAGGCTTCGGCATCAAGGAGGTTGCGGCATGGTGCGGGATACGACATGGTGTGGTGCCTGCGAGATGTGGGTGTGGATGTTGGGTGGGTGGCCCCAGGTGTGTAGCATCGATGACTTGGGCCATTGCGGTGGCTAGGGATTAAAGGGCGGGCAGTTCAACTGGTTTGCTCTCGGAAGTGTGAGGCTACACCGGGCGAAAGCTTGACTCCGATTGTGTGAGCCGGCAATGGTGGCTCCCATGGGCGTCGCTGCCTTCTTGAAGGTGTTGTCATGGTGAAGTGCACCTCTCCCTACCAGTCCTTTCTCTGATAGAAACCTCAAATCCATGCATTCCCAGATTGGATGATGTCGACGCCTTGTGCCGTGCTCCTGTTGAGGACTTTATTTTTGGAGGAGGGCTCAGCTAGAGGGATAAGTGGCAAGTGTGTGGATGATGGTAGAGTTGGCGTCGGGGTTCGCTATGGCAATGATGATGAGGTGAGTGATGTCGGGGGTCGTGGCAGTGGTTGCAGTAGTCGTGTCTTCTCCGATGCCTCCATGAGATTTCCTTAAGTTGTTTGTTGCTATCAAATCGGAGTTGCAGCGGCGGGTCCCGGTGACAACGATGACATGAGGTAGGTAGTTTGCTCGGTGATCTTCCGTGGCGTCAGCCTTGCATATCTCCCCTTCGTAGCCCTTTGTCTGAATCAGAGTTGTGTCGCGGATGGATAAGTGCTTTCCATGGATATTCATTTGACTTATTGCAGCCTCTACAATACGAGTTGAGTCGGCGGTCGTCTGCAGTGAAATCAGAGTCGTTTATACTCATGGACAAGGGATGGAGATGACACTTGCTCAAGTCGAGGGCGTCGTCCTCTGAGGCCCTGTCGGGGAGCAAGAGGGCTCGGGAGTCCTCGCCGGGCTCTGGTGCTGATCTGGCATATGAGGCGGAGCTTCGTTCGAAGCTTGAGGCAGATCGGGCGGCGCGCGGGCCTGATCGCGTGCGGGAGGAGTCGGAGGCGGGGTCAGACCGCTCCGTGGCCAGATCGGGGACGCCGCTCCCTGGATCTGGTGCTGGTTTGGGGTCGGGGCCAGATCCCTGGGAGGCTGCCGTGGCTTCGGCGGCTGGTGGCTCCTCTTCTTTGGCGCCGCGCCCCGTCCAGGCCAGGGGGCCGGTTCCTCCGCCTCGGCCTCCTCCCTACTCCTTTGCGGCTGGCGCGGCCTCTCGCTCGGGGCAGTGCTTTGGTCCTGGGTCGTCTTCCTCATTGGCTGGGGACCGGCGTCCTCCCCCTTCTGCTCCGGGCACTTCTTCTGGGGTCCTGGCGACGGTATCCTGCCGCCGCCACCTCCAGCTCCTCGTCAACACCCTGTTCCCTCGGGCCCCTCCCCGACCCTCACCTGCTTTGCTTGCCACCACCCGAACCATTTCCAATCGAGATGCACTAATCCCCCTTTCTGTCTCATCTGCCGATCTGATGGCCATTTGATCGTGGACTGCCGTAACCGCACAAAGGGTCCCTCTTTCGTGCAGTTTGGGCTGGGTCTGCCTGGGTGTTCCTTCTTCGCTCTGGATGTTGAGGTTCCTGTGGTGATGGCCACACCCTCTCTCTCTAATGCGGCTATTATCATAGTGTGTGGTCAGAAAATCTCTCTGCAGACCCTTTTGGACGGTTTGAAGATCTGGGATGAGGGTGGATGGGATTGGCAGGTGCGCCAACTCTCAGACTTTGATTTTGCTGTGGTGTTCCCCTCCAAGGACTGT